AATAATAATAATAATAATAATAATAATAATAATAATAATAATAATAACAACAACAACAACAACAACAACAACAACAACAACAACAACAACCCGCCCATTACAACCAGAACCTGATGCCTCAACCAACATGTTCCTGTACATCAAATAATACTAATACTTCCATGTTGGAAACACCAAAGGGCTTCTGAGGTGAAAAGATTTGCCAGTGTCATCACCATTGCCCAGTTGGAGGCTCCCTTTGCGGCCCTCCAAAGTTGCTCACTGAAGTACCCATTTTATCTGCTTACGATCACCCGCTTTCGAATTGCTGCATTGGTGGAGGTGCAGCATGTGATGGGATCTCGCCCCACCCCATGGCAGCAATAGGTCTCGAAAGCAAGGCTGCCAATTGTCAGTCCAGCGTTCTAACCTCACAAGCCATTGCACTCCTACAATGTCAAGTATAACCCCCAAGACTCCAACTTCACCCTATTCCCCATATTTCAGGGAAGAACCAGCTTTTTATTACCTTCCAGAGGGCAAAAAAGGGTGGGGGGTCTGCTGGATTCCAGGGGGAAGGCTGTTCCAATGGGCAAGAGCTGCTATCAAAAAGGTGTGCTTCCTAGATCCCAGTAAATGACACCTTTGATGGAAAGGACCTGGAGCACACTCTCCAACCTAGCCGATCTGCTGCGACAAACAAATACCCTCAGGGAGAAGCAGTCCCACAAATAACCAGGCCCTGTTCCCTGTACTGCTTTAAAGATGATGCTGTACATATATTACACTGAATATGGCTCTGAAATCAAATAGTGGCGTCCTTGGGACAACAGCATATCTACTATTGATGTATAACTCTTTGAAAGTGATGTATGTTTTTAAACAGGCTGATCCATAAATACATAATCTTGATTTCTAGATTTCTCACTGTAGTAAAACAAGTGACAGGAAGGATATTTACGCATAATAAAGGACAGACATTTTCAGAATTAGCATATATCTTTTCCTTCATAGACCGACATGTTAGATGGACAAGCTGCTTGTCTGCTCCAAGACTGAAGCTCCAATGTACCTTGTAATGGAAGAATGGAAGAATGCACAGGTTTTGACACACTTTCTTTTGTGATTTCAGATGACGTTTCCCCATATTTCAAGACAGAGCCAGTGCGCACTCAAGTCCATCTAGAGGGAAATCGTTTGGTGCTCACTTGCATGGCAGAAGGGAGTTGGCCCCTGGAATTCAAATGGCTGCATGACAACAGAGAGTTAACCAAGTTCTCACTGGAATACAGGTATGTCAGAGATTGTCAGGGTTTTCTGCAGTGAACATCCCTGTAGCTGCTTGTCATTTACCCCCTTGGGACCTGTATTATCTGCAACTTTAGATTTGCTCACAGGATCATCCTGGGTTTTTAATCAATTTATCTTCTTACATAGCATCTAACAAGATTGGTGGAAAAGCAATTCCATGCTGATTCTTCCATACAAAGATCATCTTCAGAATAATGCAAAATAGATAAGGTTTTTGTCATAGTCTGGAATGCTAACAGTGACAAAAGCAGACAATTAAACGAGTGGGTTGGACTTGTATGAATTGTGAAAGCCAAAATGAGAAGGATTTCTTCAGGCAAGCTACATTGAGCCCTTATTCAGCAAGATTAATTTTGCCTATCTCACAAGCTAAAAAGAATTTCCTGTTCTGTGTACAAACTGTTAATCAAGAATCACTCAGTCTACATAGTTCTCCTTATATCCCTTGAAGCAATCAAGGAAAGTAATTTTGACACCAAGTTTATTAAGCCACTTTATTTACTTATGAAAGCTGGCTCCTTATCTCTAGATTCAGCTTTCTTAATACTGATTTGAAAACAAGAGTCCTAGAGAGAGAGAGAGAGAGAGAGAGAGAGAGAAAAGAAACACTTGAAGAAGATGGATATAAACCACTTGGATTTTCCACAAGCAACTTAATCTTTTAAATGGATATAGTTTCAGTTTCTCAGACACACATGAGCTTTGATGTCCAGTCTGTTTTTTACTGGTGGGGTAGACATAATTAATATTTCATAATCAAATAACTTACTTTCAAAGAGAATTTGCATTCCTTCTCTTATTCCCATGTGCTTCCATGTCACCAAGGATCTTTTTTACAAAGAACAAAAGATGCCTTTAACTAAATTGGTTTGCAGAAGGTATCCTGCATTAGTAATTTAAGACTAAAACAAATTGCACACAAGTTCAGCACACCAGAAATCCCACCTGGTTATGCACTATCAAATCTCTGTCTGTTCCTATCATGTAGATTTTCTTCATATACATTTCTCCATAAAAAGGTTTTCTGTCCCAACCCCTCATCCTTCAAATCTTCCTAGGATGCACATTGCTGTTGGTCATTCTCTTTCTTTTCACCTTTTTCAGGAGACGTCTTTGCATAAGATGTTAAAATGTGATGATTTTAATCTGGCTATTTGTACATTGTGTGAGGACTCTGAATAGATTTGTTCTCTGTTTCATTTGTTCATTTTCTTAGCTATCCATGATAATCTCAGAAATCTTTTTGTCTATGATGCTATGTTGACTGCTGGTTCCTTCATTGTTGAGAGTCGATCCTAAAAGACAGAAGCTATTCACCATTTTGGTATTATCCATATCAGTTCTAAAGCTAGTTGCTGTATCTTTTGCCGCTAGTTTGGCTTTTTTATATATTTGGACTTAATCTCCTCCTTTCACTGTACTCCTGGACATTCATTACACAAGAACTTGCAAATTTTCAATTTTAGCCATCAGAGCCCTGTCATCATCATAGTGGAAGTTTCTTCCTCCAGTTCTAAACCATGATCACTTTCTTCCAATCAAGGTTCCTTGATATATTAAAAGATGTATTAAAAGTTAGAGCTATCACAGTACGGGTTATTAATTAATATTTTCAGGGAAAATGTTACTGTACTCGTGGACATTCAAAATTCATGTATCAAATGAGTAAGATAAGTGTTTAGAAGTAAATAGGAACCAGTTTCAACATTTAATGTAATTTATCTAACAAATTGCCTATCAGTCATGAATTTTTGTACACCTTATATATTCTACTTATATGTTGAATTCATAAGGTTGGAGTATACAGTTTTTCCCTCCTCCTTTGCCAACCTAGAGCCAGTCTATTTCACCATATTCGGCCTATCACATCCAGGCCTGTGTAAAAATTTCCCATGAGGATAATGAGATGTTCTGGGGTTCCCATTTTCATAAGTACATACAACAGCTTGACAGGGTTACACAATTAAACCCTTTCTATAATCAGTGAAGCACACAGTTATTTTTATTTTTATATGTTGCTATTCCTTGGCTTTTTTATCTCAACATGCATCAGTAATCATGTGTTTTGTTCCTCAGAGTTTTTTTAATCTGTGTTAAATAATCTTAAACCTTATTCTGCTAGTAAGTGAGAATATGGGTATTGTACAATCGTTTGCACATTCTGTCAAGTTTCCCGTCTTTGGTATTGTTACAAAGACTGACAGCTTCCAATTTGTAGGCCACTGTGTTGGCTTTGTTCTGTAGTTTTAGCTTGATTTGGAGTTTGCACATGAACAGTTTGTGATCTGTTCCACAACTCAGCCCCTGACAATGTCTTTGCTGCTGCAAATGAGCTTTTCTACCTTCTTCTACCAATATTATCTGTTTGACTTCTGTTTTATTCTGTCTGGTGAAGTTCATGCATATTGATGCTATTTAGTTGTCGGAAGACTATCTTACAAATAAGGAAATAATTGGATTGGCAGAAAGTGATGTCATTTTTTTCTTTTTACCTCATTTCGGTTTCCTAGGCTATACAGTAAACCAACATATTTGGCTTGCATGTTCTATCGGCTTCAGATTGAACTTAACCATCAACCTCCTCTTCTGCATCACTGGTTAGGGCATAAACTTGGATAAATGATATAGTAAAGGCTTGTCTGAAAAGTTCAATTGATGTTATCCGGTCATTGACTTGATTGTGCCCAAGGACTATCCTTGCTGTCTTCTTCCTGACAATGCTGTTCCTTCTTTGTTTTTCATGTCCTGTGTAGTAGGATCTCCTGTTCAAAAGGGTCCAATTCCATTCTATTTTAATTTGCTGGTGTCAAAAATGTCAACGTGTAATCAGTTCATTTCATTTTTCTCGTGTTGACTTTTTCCATGCTCGTGTCTCTTACGTTCCCACAGTAATTCTGTCTTTCTAGCTTTGGATTTTATTTTCCTGCAGGGCAAAATCAGCCACTAGACATACCAAAAGCTTTTATCTAGCCATGTTAGAAACAATATTAGCATTCTGAAAGGTCTTCAGCTTTTCCTCAATAGTGTGTTGAGTGACGTCCAGCCTCAGGCTCCCCTCATCTAGCGCTATATCATCAATCAGTTTATATTGATTATTGGTGTGGGGTTCTTTCTGGGTAAATACAAAAGTAGTTTATCGTTGTCTTCTCCTGCACAATATGTAATGATATCTTTGCATCTGCCTCCAGTATCTTTCTGTATCGCTTCTGTCTAATACGCTGTCTACTTGCTTCAGCTGGGATGGCCTTGTTTGAGCTGTACGCCCTTGGCATAACTCCTAGCATTCCTCACTCACCCTTCCCAGAAACATCTGCTCTCCTCTACCCACTCACCCACCATAATAAGGCAGCATAGCACTGGATGAAAAAGATAAATAAACTCCTTATTAATATTATTTCACACATGCACAAACAAAAGCTCACCAATGTAAAATGCTTTGGGGTTTCTGATCTGTCATTTATTTTGCTTTTTTAATATTTTCAAATAGTGGGCTGAAATGGGTTTCATCTCTAGTCAGATAGATTGTGAGATTTATGCCTAACACTTATATCACATTTTGGTATCAGGTTATACATTAGTAAAACGAGCATCACAAGTTCCCAGACACATAAAGAAGAGCTGTCGAACTAGGGTTCACTTCTTATTAATTTGTGAAGCGCTTGCCCTTCTCTATTAATTTATTAATGTTTTCTCTTGGTACACTGAAGATGGAAAATGCCTCTGGTTGCAACTGACGTTTTTGTAGAGTTATTCCCTCGTCAAATAGTTTGTTAATTATCCCTCATTCTGATTGCTATCATTTATCTATCATGGATTGGAAACTTGGCTTTGTGGCCCACAGAAATCTCTGTCTCTCTCTCCCCCTGTCTCTCACCACTCAACTTTAGGAGCTCATCAAAAAAAGTTTCCTTCCATTTCTTTCTCACTCAGTAATTTGAGAAGGAAACAACTGTCACAAAGTCAGAGCCACTCAAGGTCTAGCTTTAAATCAAGCCAAGTGCTTCCCAATGTCTTGTCTAGATGCGCATGTGTGTGTATATGTGTGTGTGTGTGTGTGTGTGTGTGTGTCATCCTCTCCCATCTTAATCAATAATTCAGCACAAGGCAAGATGTGTTCTAATTTAACGTATCATGTTTGAAGGCCTCTTGCTGCTACTGCTGCTGCTGCAATGCTGGGACCTTGGGAAAGGTCCCCTCCCTGAAAGCTGCTTAGAAAAGCCTCATTGAAAAGCCTAGGCAGTAGTTTAAGGCTCCTCTAGAAGAAACAGTGGAAAACTTTAGAACAAAATACTTTATTTGACCACATGTGATTAGACACACAAGGAATTGTCTCCATTGTAGAAGCTCTCAGTGTACATGCAAAGCAACAAAATCATGATCGTTGTCATCATCATCATCATCCCTTCTTTTTTGTAAAGAAGAATAAGAAGGATAAATGATAATATTACCATCCATACTGCATGGGTAAATATATAGTACATAGACATTAGACAGTGCTGTGAGAATTACCATAGGTGTTCAGCAAATAGATGGTGTGAGGGGGGAAAAACTGTCTCTGGGTCTAGTTGTTTTGGTATGCAATGCCTGTTGCGCCATCCCAAGAGGACGAGTTGAAACAATTTATGGTTAATATATGTTGGGTCTGTAGATATTTTCTCAGCCTTCCACCTTCTGACCTGTGCAATATACAGGTCTTTTGTGGAAGGCAGCTGGTTGCAGTTGTTCTTTCTGCAGTTTTAATTATCCATTGCAGTCTGTACTTGTCCTGTTTGATTGCTGTACCAAACCAGACAGTTATAGAAGTACAAATGACAGACTCAATAATTCCTCTGTAGAACTATATCAACAGCTCCTGGGGCAGCCTGAACTTCCTGGTTGACTCAGGAAAAAATTCTTTGTTGTGCCTTTTTGATGGTTCTAATACCAACCATTTGTCCATTTCGAGTCCTTTATTTTGAAATAACATTTCAAGTTTCATTTT